CCCGATGGAACCCTGTGGTGCCAGGCAGGAATGGGCTGCTTGGGCACCCAGCGAGCTCCCAGTGCCTTTCTGCTACTTCCTCCACCCCTGTATTTCACTCAGCTCTCGAAACTGACTCAGCTCCCGAAATTGACTCAGCTCCAGGTAAGGTCAGAAACTTCTTCTGCAAACAGACTTTCAGTTTCTCCAGTGAGGGTGTGTTCGGGAGAGGAGGGTCTCCCTTCCCACTTATGCAGTTGGGGCACTCATAGTATTTGGCGTGCCTCCCAGGTCCCGCAGGAGCAGTCTGCCTCCTTCAGAGGGTCTGTGGATCCTCTCGGGATTGCTGGTTTGTTCTTGCAGTTGATCTGGAGCTAAAATTCACAGTGCAAGCCTCCACACACTGCTCTGTCCAGAGTTGTAATCTAGTCCTGCCTTGTATCTGCCATGATGATCCAGTTTTGTTTGTTTGTTTGTTTTTGTTTTTTTTAGGCAGAGTCTCACTCTGTCGCCCAGGCTGGAATGTGCCCTGAGCGTGATCTTGGCTCACTGAAGCCTCCACCTCCCGGGTTCATGCAATTCTCCTCTTTATATATTTTTTAAAGAAAAGAGAGGACACAGCAGAGGAAAAAGCACAAAAGCAGGGTGACCTTGATTCTAGTTCTTTTTCTCCCACGGACTCAGTGTGAAACCTTTGCAAGTAACATCATGTCTGTGGCTCAGTTTTGTAATGGACAAAATGAGAACAATGCAACACCAGAACCTCTCTATTAATTTAATAGGATTGGAATGGAATAATTGAAGAACAAGGAATATTACCAGGGGTAAAAAGGGATTAAAGCAATGAGTTTTTGTTATGAACTTGCCCAGAGGCATTGCTGGTTTTCACATTTTATTTAGCAAGAATTAGGGAATTACTAAATCTATAAATCAGAGATGTATTTAAGAGAGATTCATAACTATTAATTGAGAAGATCATGCAGACTAAATCATTAAAAACTTCTATTCTTACAAAAGTTGTACAGACTTTCCACTGGGTAAAAACCCACATTCAACTTATGTGGTGCTTACTAGAGATACATAAAACAAAATGACACAAAATGGTCAGTGTGGAAACTTATATGACCACATACAAATTAAAAATAAAGCAAGGTTTATGGTATTTATATAAGATAGCAGTCAAATTTAAGACAAAAACACTTTGGACACAAAGATTTTATACCATAATGAGGAACAGGGCAACTTGGGCACACAATCCCAACACTACTGCTTACTATGTTGGCTTCTTTACCATATTTGTTCATCTATAAAATGGGAGTATTACTAGTACCTGCCTCAGAGGGTGGTTGTGGGGATGAAAAAGACAGTGCCAGAACATAGTGCATGCTCAGCAATTAGTTATTACTGTTGCTGCCTTAAAATTGATGAAAATCAAAAACCATAGCAAGGAAAATGGATAGAAATGTAATAGTCACAGGAGTTTTTCACTTACTTTCACCAGTTTTTACAAGATCATGTAGCTATAAAAATGTCAAAAAAAAAAAAAAAAAAGGAATAGCGTGTTTATTTCAATCAGAATTACCTGTACCCTTTTAAAAATAAATGTGATACAAGGATTTATACTAAATCTAATTAGTTTGGTCATAAGGAATGAAACAAAGGCAGGTTTATTTATTTTTTTAACTCGACTTCAGAAGTTTCTCTACTGTATACTGTTGCTGAAGATCCACTGCTAAAAATGTTATAATGTCTTTGATAAGGTTGATTTGGCCAAAATTTACCGAACCTTCCAAGTAGAAATTATGTATGCTGTTCTCCAGTATCCATGGATAATTTCTAATATCCAAATTTCTACTGAAAGTTTGTTTTTCTTCCCTTGACCATTCTTTCTAGAGGTTTATCTGCCTTTATCGCCTGGATTGAATTTTAAGTTTAATATGTTTTATTTGCCAAATTTTAAATTTAAATTTAATTCCAAGTTTTTAAGAATTATCCTCATTAATTCCTTTCTCCTTTCCTCAGCTTTATTTTCTAGCTTCTTTTTGAAGTTATATTTATTTCTATTCTTCCATGCCTAATAATAAGTGAAGAAAAATAAAAGTGACTGTGTCCACCATATCTAACCATGTAGCTAAATATCCACATATTTTATATATATATACATTTATATATATATATAAAATGTAAGTCTATGTTAATATATTTTAGAGTCTTCTCACATCATTGGATTAACTTTCTGAAAAAAAATTAAATGAGATTCCTATCGAAGTAACATAATATTTTAAATATTTAAAAGTAAAATAAAGAACTATAAAAGTATTAAAAATTGCTATATAATCTTGGGGTGAAGTATTTTTTAATTGATCACAAAAATGCTATAAAGGAAATTTCCTTATTTATCTATATAAACTTAGAAAACCTTCTGCATATTAAAACACTTCAAACATCAAACTGGGAATATATATGTATTATATGATCAACAGATGGCTTGTTTCCTTAATACATAAAAAGATCTTAGAAGTCAGTAAGAAACAGAGCATGCTCTATCAAAAAAGGGGCAGAAATCACAAACAGATTTCAGCAGGAGGAAAATAAATGGCCATTAAACTCAGGAGAAAATGGTCAACTTCAATTGTAAATTGAAGAAAAAATGTAAATTACAGGAATATATTCATATTTTTACCCATTAAATTGGCAAAGATTAACAAAAAAGATTCTAATATTTGATATAAATCTAAAAATTTAGATTTAAAATATTTTTATAATTTAAAATATACAAATCAGATATTTGCATAATCTGTTAGTTGGCATAAAATTTACAAGTTATTACTGTGTAAATTTTCAAATTGTAAATTTTTAATATATTTTAAAAACCTTAAAAATAAGCATAATCTTAAACAATTTTCACTTAAAAATGTTTGCCCATGGAAATAATTAAAGATGTGGTCAATAGTTAGCTGGATGAAATTTTACTGTAAAATTCCCTGTAATAAAACGTTGGTACTCAAGAAATTGTTAATAAGATGGTGACTAAACATAGAAATCTGTAAAATAAATGATATAGTCCACTAGTCATATCTTTTAGTCATAAAAATGATGTTGTAGATGAATGTGTATTGAAAAAGAAAACATATTCTATTGATTTAAAAAGAATGTTACAAAACAATACATATTTTGCTATCAAATTTTTGAAAAAACTATCTGGAAAGACATGCAGATGTGCACTAAGGTAGCAACCACCATTGACTATTAGGGATTTGTCATTTTAAATTTTGCTTCTTATTATCTAATTTACCTACAATAAAAATATGTTGCATTTGGAATTAGGAAAAAGGAAATCCCAAATAAGATATTTTAAATTTCCAAATCTTCTCATTCTCTGCCAACAATCACCTGAATAATATGGGGAAGAAGTATGCAGGAAGGCTGGCTTTATGAATAGGTAGGAAAAAAGAAAACAGAAAAAAAAATTGTAGGGTTTATATAGATATTAATTACTCTTTGAGGAGTGTCAATGAATAGGCAAAATACTTTGATTTTACCGGGATATTTGAATACCTGTTGGGATAAACCCTTCAGCACCCACCCTATCACCCAAGCCACAATGACGACTTGCTTCCATTGCAGAAGCTTCCCATCTGGTCTTCCAACGTGTCTTCCTGCTGTTTTTACTCTACTGTAGACTCTTTTAAAACCAGAGAGCAATGCTTCCCGTTCTCACTCAGATCAATAGCAATATTCTTGTAATAACCTCCAAGGCCTTAGATAATCTGGTTACCTAACAATCTCTCTGACCCTATCATTAGTCAACTGTTGCCTAGCTCACTCTGCTCCAGACATACCAGCCTCCTTGCTGTTCTTCAAACACATCAAGTGTCCTCCCCGTTCAGTGTCATTGCTCTTGCTTTCGTCTGTGCCTCATACACCCTTTCTCCAAATATTTACATGGCTTACCCAATCACTTCTGTCCTCAGTCTGTTCAAATGCCACCTTCTCAGTGAGATTTTCCACAGCCACTGTTTACAAAATGGCACATCCAACTTTCTTTTCCCCTTGCCCTGCTTTCTTGTTCTCTACATAGCTCTTATGGCTAAGGACACATTCACTATATGCTTATATGTTTATTGCTTATTCTGTGTCTCCTGGACACAAGGATATAAACACCGTGTGGTCACAGATTTATTTTGTCCACTGCTGAATCCCTAGCCTCTTTAATAGTGCTAGGACCATAATAGATGCTCAATAAGTATTTATTGAGCAAATGAATGGGGCATGGGTTTGAGATTGGCAATGTTTTAATTACATAAATCAATATTTAGGTCATAATCAGTTTTGACTATTAGTAATCTATACTTAAGGTAGTAGCAAAGTACCCCTCTGATGGGATAAGGGGGACTGTCAATTTAAAAGGAAAGATGAAGGGTAAGAGAATGAAATTAGGTTTTTTTGTACATCAGAGGCCCCTTTCTAAAGCATCAGGGTAATATAATTCATTCATGAGTTTATGAAAATCTGCTTGTCATTGTGCTTGCTGGAGCACTACCAGGAATTGTGCTTGCTAAAGATACAAAGACGTGTAGTATTTAGTACCAGCCCTTAAGGGATCTATTCAACAGAGGCAATTCTAGGTTTTCCATGTCATTCCCTCATTCCCCTTCTCCTTGCTATCAACCAAATGTGTAACTGTGCTCAAGGCAGGAATGTGATTAACACCAGGTGTAAACACAGTTACATAGACTCACAAAGGGACTAAGGGACTAGAAATCTACAAGACAGATGCCAAGAATGCGCTTGCACTGCGGACTTTGGCCCTTCTTTCCAGAAGTGTTGCTATGGTATTCTAATTCTAAACTCAAAGTACGGGAAAGCTGCTACTCTTGAAAGTTAGCTGGTTAATAGTTCAAACCATTTTCTTTCTCATCCTCATACCTCACAAAAGTAAGGAGCAAATGAGTTGGGGTTTTGCAGGACAAGATATGAAAGTCAGCTAACCCTGTCCCAACAGGTCACTATTTCCTTACATTCACTCGTTGGTGTAGTTCAGCCTTTGTTTCCTCATCATCCCACAGGTCATCAGGAAGGGAGTTGAAATCAGCCTGCCATTGAGCTACAAAATCTTGCTTGTGATCTGGACGCTTTAGAAACTCCTGGAAACTTGTTCTGTAGACATGAAGAGAATGAGATAAATTTTATATGTCATGCCTCTAAACTGTAAAATTCTAACTTTGGAAACTTTACTTACCTAATCTCATATAAGTAAGCAAGCACAGTATGCTGGTCTTCCCTCAGATGCCTGAGTACTGTTTTGATGGTGTTTATATAGGAATTTTCTATTAGTTCCCAGTAAGGTACTAAAAACGAAGGCATTTCCTGTTAAATTGTAAAGTATAGAAATTTTTACTTCAAAATGAAAGTTCTTCTGAATAATAGAGTCAAAGGAATAGTCCCAAGCAAAAAGGTCAAGATGCAACTGCAACTACCTAAAGCATTCCCTGTGAGACTTCTTGCTCCTCTTTTCTCCCACGTCCCCCACTATAGCAAATTCATATTCCAAATAATCCTCCATGTCTCAGCCCAGATATTATTTATTCCAGAAATTGGGGGGCCGGGCACGGTGGCTCATGCCTGCAATCCCAGCACTTTGGGAGGCCAAAGTGGGCAGATCACCTAAGGTCAGGAGTTCTAGACCAGCCTAGCCAACATCATGAAAGCGTGTCTTTACTAAAAATACAAAAAAATAGCCAGGTATGGTGCCATGTGCCAGTAATCCCAGCTACTCGGGAGGCAGAGGCAGGAGAATTGCTTGAACCTGAGAGGCAAGCTTGCGGTGAGCTAAGCTTGTGCTATTACACTCCAGCCTGGGCAACAAGAGTGAAATTCCATCTCAAAAAAAATTATTTATTACAGAAATTCTTCCCAGATACAACAAGTCTGCAAGGTCACACTGAGGTTCTGAGGTTCTCCCTTAGCATCCTGTACTTTTCCCATAATAACACTGATGCTGTTAATTGTAACATCATCATTTACTTGTCTGTACTCACCTCTAGAATGGCAGTTCCATAAAGCCAGAAACTGATTGTCTTGTTTACCATTATAAGAAGACTCTTCAAAAAGTTTATGAAAAATGCACATTATGAAAAAACTAGGCATGAATTTTGAAATTCAATATTTGAACACATCTGAATAGGATGTAGTTTCAGACACTGAGAAAGATGAGATATCAGCTTGAAAAAAGCCCCTATCTGAGCAACATGAATTCGGCAAAAATTGAAACAAGAACAAACATAAAATTGCTGGTGAAGCTTGGGAGGAAGAATGGTGAAATCATTGATGCTTTACAAAAAGTTTATAGGCACAATGTTCCAAAGAAATTAGCAGTTTAGTAACTGATCTTAAGAAGGTGAGATAATGTTGAAGATGAAGACTGCAGCAGTAGACCAATTCATATCAATTTTCAGAGAAAAAATTAACTTTTTGTGCCCTCACTGAAGAAGACCAATGATTAACAGCAGAACAATAGCCAACCCCACAGACATCTCAATTGGTTCAGCTTACACAACTCTGACTAAAAATAAAAGTGGAGCAAACTGTCCACTAGATGGATGTCAAAACCATTGTGCCCAGATTAGTGGTAGACAAGAGCAAAACTTTCAATAGAAATTGTTAACAAGTGAGATCAAGATTCTAAAGCATTTCTTCAAAGAATTTGTAATGGGAGATGACGTGTGGGTTTATCAGTATGATTCTGAAGACAAAGCATAATCAAAACAATGGCTACCAAGAGATAGAAGTGGTCCAGCCAAACTGTACCAAGAGGAAAGGTCATGTCAAGAGGTTTTTTTTTTTTTTTTTTTTGATGCTCCAGGCATTTTGTTTGCTAAATTTCTGAGGGGCCAAAGAAAAATAACATCTGCTTATTATGAGAGTATTTGAGAAAGTTTCTAAAGCTTTAGCAGAAAAACAACTGAGAAGCTTCACCAGAGAGTTCTTCTCCACCACCACAATTCTCCTGCTCATTCCCCTCATCAAACAAGAGCAATTTTGTAAAACACTAGATGGGAAATCATTAGGCATCCATGATATTGTTTGGCTCTGTGTCTCCACCCAAATCTCATCTCAAATTGTAATCCCCAAAATCTCCATGTGTCAAGGGGACGCCCTGGTAGGAGGGGATTGAATCATGAGGTGGGGTTTCCCCATGCTGTTCTCATGATAGTGAGTTAGTTCTCATACGACACGATGATTTTATAAGTGTTTGACAGTTCCTCCTTCACACACACACACACACACACACACTTTCACTTGCCTCCATGTAGTATGTGCCTGCTTTCCTCTCTGCCATGATTGTAAGTTTCCCAAGGCCTCCCCAGCCATGTGGAACTGTGTGAGTCAATTAAACCTCTTTCTTTTATAAATGACCCACTCTTGGGTATTTCTTTATAGCATTGTGAAAACAAACTAATACAATCCACCTTATATTTCTGATTTGGTTCCATCTATCTTCTTTTTGTTTCCTAATCTTGAAATATCTGTAAAGGGTACCCATTTTTTTAAACAAATAACGTAAAAAAGATTGCATTGACATGGTTCAACTCTCGGGACCCTCATTTCCTTAAGGACGGACCACATTGTTGGCATTATCTCCTACAAAAGTGTCTTAAACTTGAAGCTTATGTTGAGAAATAAGGCTTATTTTAAAATTTTTATCTTTTAATTCAATTTTTCCACAAGCTTTTTGAAGTCCTCTCATGCCATCTTTTCTTTAATTACCATAGTGTTTGGGACATAGTTGGCCCTCAAGGAATAGTTATTGAATGAATAAATTGAATCATCACAGGTGACATATTTTGTCTCAGTTAGGAAACTGCCTAGCATGAAGAACACCTAGTGTTCATGTCAGGGTGATGACGAGTTATTTCTCTGATTACATTTAGAAGGTTCTTTCATTCCTGTGTGCTTCATGAAAATCAGAAATTTTCTTTTATATTTTCTTTAATAATGCAAATAAACAATCAAAACCAAGAAATAATCTAAATTAATAAAGCTGAGGATCCATATTATATTTATTATATTTTTATTGGCTGTGCATTTATTTACTCAGGGAATTACACATGGAGACGTTAGAGGTCATCTGGGCTAATTTCCTCTCCAATCAAGAAATGCCAAATGCTAGAGATATATTATCTAATCTCCCTGTGGACCTCATGTATGCATCAAGCACAGAATTTCAAGGCAGCCTCCTTCAATGTTCACAACTCATGTTACTGGAAAACTTTTTCTTCTGTTGAGCAGAAATTTGTCTTTCTGTAATTTCCACTGAGTCCCAGCTATCCTCTTTGGAGAAGGACAGACTACATTCTCACTATTTTTCTTATGGTAGAGACTGGCTTCAAGGAAGGCAATGACATAGGGAAAGAGGGAGGAAGGGACAGAATCCGGGAACGGATTGTACTATGTGTACTATGTTTTTTCCTATGCATACATTCCTATGATATAATTTAATCTATAATCAGGCACAGTAAAATATTAACAACTAATAATAAAATAGAACAATTATGACAATATACTGTAAAAAAAAGTTACGTGATTGAGGGCTCTTCCTCTCTTTCTCTTACTCCCTGATCCACATATCCAGCCTTGCTCTCAAGGCTAGAGCAGGAATGGGTCTGCTCAACAGGAGTTATTCTTGCTGTGCAGGCTCCAAATGATCATCTTTATATTTTATTAGTGCTCAAAAGTAATGTGTTTAATAATTTGCTCTTAAATTACAACAATAATTAATGTATACATTATTGGTCTGTATGTTACTAAGTCCCACTGCCTTTTCTTAAGTACTTAGGCATTTGCCTGCGTCTAGTTTTCTGGAATCCCCTGTACCCTCTGTGACTTCTGTGAGTCATGGATAATGTAATATCTGTAGGTTCTTCCAGCCCCTGAGATGTAATTTTTCTGGGGTCTGGGAACTTGAACTTTCATGATGTAATGAGGTGCTCAGAGCTATACTTTCCAATTAAATAATTTTCCCTTTGTTAGAGAACACAAAATCATAGTAGGAATTCAGTAACCAAGGCAATATTCTCTGAAGTTTCAGAGACCCTCACTTTATATAGGCGTTGTCCAAGTTCCTGAGAGGAGCGTAGTAATTTGCTCACACAAGCAACAGATTCATCTTCAGGTACCACTGGTCAGGTCTTCTGCCTTTTTCCAATTTGACTTCCTCTCTGTCACATTTCCTTCCATAATGAGTATGAAGCTAAAAGAAAATGTTCTAACTATCAACACTAAAAAATCCAATGAACCTTGCTAGAGGGAAGCCTCAATTATCTTTCTGTTCTGTCTGTAGGAAAATGAGCTTACAAAATCATTGTCACATGTAAAGACCTGCAAAAATAAAGAAAAACAGAGGGGTACTGGGCATGTAAAAAGTGTTTGTGGTGCTTGTCTGTTTCTTCCAGTTATAAAAATATTTCTTAACTGAATATAAATCAGTTCTAAATAAATATTCACTTCATGACTGATTCTGTATCTGCAATTTTGTGCTTCTTTTCTTAAAGAGGGTCCACCAAGTCTTTAGGACTCACAAAACCTTATTACTACCGTTAATTAATTTGACTTCATTTCATTTCTCATTTAAGATGATTTCAGGTTACCCAAGCTGGATTTCCATTTTCAGTCTTCTATTATCTTCTTAGACAATGTAACTACAAAATCTTTTTATTTTTGGCATTTTGGCAGAGACATCTACACATACCCTTGACTGTATTCTTTCAACATTTGAGTGCCTATGATGGGCTAGACACTCACTAAATTCCTATCCTTTTATAATTTTCTCAAATTTTTTGAGTACCTCCCCACTATCGCCCCTTTCCCCTGTAAAATGCCCTGGGATCACATTAGTTTCTTTGGTACATAATAGGGATTTTAAGGGCAAATTTTCTTCTTATTTGAGCCCGTCCACTTCTCTTACAGCCTTATTCCCCTTTAGAGGCTGATTATGATTTCACTATAGGTTTGAAATATGCTTTCCTGATAACTAGGGCACATATTTCTTATGTTCTGCCAGATCCTTCCTTTACTATTACACCTCCTTTATTAGTACTTTCTCCTAAATTATTGATCATTTCCATTTATCTAACTGTCCATATTTGTTGGTCAGTACTAAATTCGAAGCATAGACCCCTCTATATTTTGAATGTTGAAATTGTCAGCAAGGCCAGTAGAGAATTGATCAAAAGCTCTGCTTTAATCTGAGTTACACGTCTGGCAGTAGAGTCCTATGTCTGTCAGCCTCCTGAAGGAGGACAGGTTTCCAAACCCAGCACACATGGCCCTGTGGCCCCTGGGCTCAGTTTCAGGGAGGACTGTTGCTACAGGTTGGTTGAATGTGAGTGAGGGCACTAAGTGGGCCACATGGCCAGAGGCATGGCTGCCTCTTTCATGGAGTCCTAGCCTTGGGAGTCTGTTCTTGTGACTCCACAGGATGGAAGCAAAGACCTCTCACTCTATCTGCCTTCTGTGTTCTCTCTGCACCTTCCTTTGTGGCTGGCAAAGGGTAGAGATCCCAGGTTTTCCTTACATTTGGCTGCTACATGAATGCTGTATGGAAGCAGCCTCTCTTTTCAATCTCTCTCCCTCCATTTGTCTGCTGAAGTAAGGTTGACCTGGGGCCCTTAGAAGGTCTGGAAACAGGGTTACCAGATAAAGTACAGGATTCTCAGTTAAATTTGTTGTTTAACTGAAATCCAAGTTGAGCTGGGCATCTGTCTTCCTCTTCCTTGGCAGGTGTATTAGTCCGTTTTCATGCAGCTGATAAAGACATACTTGAGACTGGGAAGAAAAAGAGGTTTAATTGGATTTCCAGTTCCACATGGCTGGGGAGGCCTCAGAGTCATGGTGTGAGGTGAAAGACACTTCTTACATGGCAGTGGCAAGAGAAAATGAGGAAGAAGCAAACGCGGAAACCCCTGTTAAACCCATCAGATCTCGTGAGACTTGTTCACTATCACGAAAACAGCACGGTAAAGACTGGCCCCTATGATTCAATGATCTCCCCTGAGTCTCTCCCACAACATGTGGGAATTCTGGGAGATACAATTCAAGTTGAGATTTGGGTAGGGACAAAGCCAAACCATATCAGCAGGTAAACTCGGCAGTTCACATGTGGGGAGTCCAGAGTGGAAAAGAACTAGACTGGGCCTGTTTTGCTGTAGCAAAAGGTGTTTGCTACCTGACCTTACTTAGGAAATGAGAGGTGAGTGCTACACATCTTCCATGTCCCTCCACATCAGTTTCCTTCACTTTGCTTAGTGGCTGGGGAGGCTAATGTATGTAAGCTACTTCAGGAAACTCCCTGGCCGTCCATCTTCTTGGCCAGAGTATTTTTCTGCTCTCGTTTGTGGGGTCACACTGCTTCCCTCTGGGGGAAAGCCACAGCTCCTGTCAGATGGCCCTCTAAGTGCAGAAGTTCTCTTGAGGCCCAAGGATCTACTCCCTTTCTGCACCTCCTCAGCCTAGGGGCCTTAGTGACCCCCAGCTGCCACTTGTTGGAGGGGAGGGAATAATCTAATCCTTGTAGGCTGCCATACTTATTGCCTACACATTTGTAAATAGTCTTTTATTCTACTCTTCTCAAATTATCATGTTTTCCATCAAATCCTGAGTGCTAGAAGATCTACTTGGAGCTGGTGCCATATTTCAATGTTAATTTTGTTTTAAAAAAATTCCTGTTTTTTATTTCTCTCTTGTCCTCTTTAGATTTATTTCTTTCAAGGGCTTCAAGTTTTGGAGTTAAGGAATGAATTTAGGTGTTTTTGCCCCACACTCCCCATCACTTACCATATTGTATCATTTTAATTTTATCTCATTGCTAACACCCACTTCTATATCTTGCTTCTATGGTAAGTTTTTTGAACCTACATATATATTAATATTAATATATATTAAAGTAGCTTCTGTTTGGCTGAGTGAGGTCAATTACATACCTTCACAATTACATCATTTAGTATTCTCAATTTTAAATATTTTCTGTTCTAATTTCACTCTCAATGCTAATTAATCAATTAGAAACCTATCAAGTTACATACTCTGTACTGTGTTTGTGTTGAATACAGTGAATTATTCCATGTTCCTACTCTCGCTAAAGAGTTTATAATTTAATTGGGAGAGAAGACCTATCCCTAGGAAAGCTCAATAATAACAGCAACACCACAATTGCTGCATTTCATAATTGGGTCTCAAATGCCTGGCACAGATGGTCGCTGCTGAGTTCATCAGAGTAAGAGATCATTGGGGACTGGAATGAGGGAGAAGGAGGCCTTGTCTTTTAAAAAGCTCTTTGCTGTTTAAAAAGTTTTAAAGGAAGGACTATTCTGTGGACTTTCTGAGAATTCATCTGTTAAAGCAACCAAAAATGGTAGATGGCAACCGGGCCTTGCTAGTTGAGCTGGGCGGAGCTTCCAGCGCTACCCTGGGACATCTCCTTGCCTTACACCAGCACACCCATTAACGTTCCCAAGTCAGATAGCTGTCTGTTCTTTTATGGGTTTAGTTAGCTTCAAAAATATTCTTCTACTTCTAAAAAGTCAAAGATTAAACTTCTTTTAAAAGCATTATGATGGGGGTATTAAAACATGAATAGAAGGCTAGAAATTTGCTGGATATGTGTTCTGGGGGAGTCATTCTTCCAGGAATCTGCATCTCTGTGTGTTCCTGAGAAGAAAATTGTTCCTCACAGAACCCATTTGTTCCCCCGATTTTAGCACTCAATAGCAGTTCAAAGCATGACTCAGAAACTCAAGTAGGAGAAAGAATGAGATATGGGTCATTGAGTAGTCTCTAAAAAAAAATCTCAGCTTTTTGATGGGTAAATATATATTATGTGCTGTAAAAGACCTTCAGGATGTTGCAGATGACAGCATGAATCTTACTATATGCAGGAGAAAGAATGAATTCTACCAGCTTGATTCTAAATGGCCATACCTCAGGAACTGGTTCATTCACATAGACCCATTCTTCTGATCCTGGCTTAGGTGGCTGCGGCACTATTGCAACAGGTGATGTGTCTGTAGAGTCAGCAGGTGATTTCTTTACTGGTACTTTTCCTCCTGATGATTTTCCTTTAGGAGAACCTTAAACATGCATATCAAATTATTCCAATACAAGTAAATGAATGGGACAGAATTCTGGTGGAGGAATACATCTATAATTGCCATGGACTTCAGGTGATTCATTAACTACTTTTTAAGCTTTTTTTGAGGAGTCTTACAAAAAATTCTTACTCTCCACAGCCCCCAAATTAACCAATAATATTAATAATAGTAAATGTCTTAAAGCAATCCAACCTATCTAAGTGGCTAATATATTTGATATTTTATTTTCATCTCTGTTCTTGCTTTCATAATGAACATGTGACTTTTATAAAGTTTAGACTCTAGAACAAAGTGTATTTCACTTACTATTTCAAAAACTGGCAAATTAAACTCTCCACGCTGAATGAGAAAGAAGGTAGCTACAACATGAGTGGTGCTCTTGGTATCCCTTGGAGACCAGGTAAGAGGGCAGAGAGAAAGGAGGATATTAAAAGAGTCAGCTGGAGTAACTGAGGGATGCAGGGGAGGAGAAGAGGAGCTGTTGTAGCCCCTGAACATTCTCTGCACATGACACAGGGTTTCTGTGGGGAAACTATATTTCTTGTTACAGTTATGGAATAAAGATGAAGGTAGTTGCTGTGCCATAAGCCTGGCAGAATCAAGGCATGAGAGAAAGAGAAAGGAAAAGAAAGGGAAGGAAAGGAAGGGAAGGCGAGGGGAGGAAAGCGGGGAATGCTTGGGAAGAAAACAAGAAAGAGGAGGTCTAATTTTCAGTTCAGAATCCGAAAAGGACATTCACTTCACTTTCCCTGATAACATCAAGAGGGAATCTAGATCTGTTAAGGGTACCCTATGGTATGAACAATCTTGGTCCTTAACTCAGAGAGTACTAATATTCCCTGAAAAGATCAAGTTATTACAGTTTGGAAATTCACTCCATTTAAAATTCCACTTACCTTTAGATTAATTATTGAAATTTTTAGATGCAGTTTACAGATACCTGTAGAACTAGGAGCACTTTCTTCCTCCAAAATATATTTCTTTAATGAGTATTATTTAATGACAATGCTGTTTAGAAAAACAAATACGTCTTCCACTTTTATGTTAGTTAAAAATAAGTGGATTATAAGTAGAGGAGAAATTGTTAATTATATCTTGTGGGCAGTTTAGGTGCTCTCCACTTATATATTTAAAAACATTATCTATTATCTGTAGATCTGAAGTTATATCTAAATTATATAAAATTTAGAAAAATTTAAGAAAGTCTTTGTTTAGGTAGTAACTGACAATTTTCACAATTTGCTATATTTTTCTATATAATGATTTTCCTTTGACCTGAATCTCTGGTGAAGTACAAATGATAACTCTATGACCAATTTAAAATGAATTTCTCTAAGCAAAATTCTTAAGAAGAAGAATTTTGTAATGATAAATTAGAGACTGGAATGCGTTTCTTTTTCTTTTCTTAAACATCATGATCATCCAGTGAAAACTGAGTCAGGGAATATTTCTGGACTATTGTGCTTTGATGCTATACAACTTTTGTGTAACTTTTAACAATGAAAATGCTGAAGGGCAAAATATTTGAACAAATAAAAATGTATCTATGTGTTAGTGAATATTCACTTTTGAACAAAATCTTTATCAGCATCTTAAATGTAACAAGCAGCATTACTTTTTAAGTATCCTCCATGCAACCATATGAAGGCTTCATTTTCTAATAAGATGTTTGCTTTCACTTGTAGAGTTGGATCATTGAGTCCTCAGTATAACTATTCCTCACGCTCATGGATGAACGGTTTGGAAAATAATCTATGGATTAGCATATGGTAAAGGTACATATTACCAACTTTTTTGTTGTAAGAACCTGGTAGTATCACACAGAAACCCACGGCACTACAATGAGTATAAATAAAAATAAAATGCAGTAAAAAGAGAAATTCAATTTTAGAACACTGGATTTTAAAAATCAATGTTATAAATAAAGAAACAATCAAAGACAAAGTGACAGATCAGTAGGTTTGAGCAAAGAGATAATAATAGGAACTCAGTGAAGGTCTGAGTAATTAAAAGTCAAGAGCTGGAACCAAAATTTACAACTAAGAAAGTAAATAGTTAATTTTAAGATAAGAGGATCAATTGATGGGAGGGCATTACCAAACACTTTCAAATTAAATTGGCCTTTCTCAGGGAGGTGAAAGTATTGGGAGGTGAGAATTGTAGGAGGGAGGAAAAGATAGGGAAAGTCTGCTTTATGTGTTTTTTTGTTGTTGTTTTCTTTTAAGAAAGGCATTATTTTTACTTTTCTGTTGCAAAATATGTCCTCTAGGACTTAATTTAATTAACAGCTTCACTGGATAGAAACCAGATCAATTAACAGTGATGGCTTTCTTATTGCCTTGGGGGTCAACCATGTTCAGCAAAAACTATCTTTTTGTTAACAGTGCTAATGGCTGCCTGGGCTGCCAACAATGGCAATCAAAGTGGAGATTTAGGGTGTATTAGATAAGATGAAAATTTTAGTTCAGAAATGGACCAGACTGAAGCAACATGACCAGGAAGAGAAGAGGTCCAGTGTTAAGCAAGGAGCCAGAGACTGAGCATGTGTTCTCAGAACTCACTGTTGAAAAACTATTCTGAAAAAGCTCATGGAGGGAAAACTTTCTCTGCTTACTGTCCTAAAATTTATGCTGTTACTCTGTGTAGAGCTGGAGACACAGAATGTGGACGACTATAAAGTAATGAGACTGGTTATCCGGGGTTACTTATAAAACCTAATTTTAGCATCTTTATAATCAATGACAAGAGGGAACTCTCCAGGTCAGCTTTGCAAAGGATTCCCCTTTCTGCCCACTGTCTTTAGTAACTTGGTCTGGGGCCAATAATAATAGTCCATATTTATTTACAGTTTATTCTGGGCCAGATCCTGTACTATTTACTTTTTTGCACATTTACTTATTCTTTATAATAGCCACATGAGTAGATACTCCTATTACTCCATTTCACAGATGAGGAAATTGAGGCATATTGAGGTACAGTAACTTGCCAGAGGTAACCCATATATGGTAAATGGCAGAGCTAGAATTTCAGTCTAGGCAGGGTGGCTGTAGACTCCATGCTTTTGATTGTCATACCTCATTGCCTTTTAGTGTCTATTGATGTATTTCATATTGATAAATGTTCTTTTGATTCATACTTAGAAGTCTGCAAACTCAGAGAAGTTCTTATACTACTATTTACTTGGCTCGTTGATTTTAAGATTATTTTATTTATTTTGCATACCAATTTTCTTTTTGGTAAATTTCTGGTAAAATTTTTTAAACTACAGTCTGATAAACAGATTCATTAAAAGACTCGTACTTAAGAGCATAAATAGTATTTATTTAATTTATTTAAACAATTGTAACATTATTGAGGCAAAATCCAGGGAAGTTATGAGCAATTTAGTGTGCAAATTAATGTGGGAGGGTAGATAATATTCTCCAAAGAGTGAAGAAGCTCTTTTTTTGTTTTCTCCTTATAGGTTAACAGTTCTTTTTTTTTTTTTTTTTTTTTTTTTTTTTTTTGAGACGAGTCTCGCTCTCGCGCCAGGCTGGAGTTGGCAGGCGAATCCTCAGCCTCACTGCAAGCTCGCCTCCGCGGTTCACGCCATTCTCTGCCTCAGCCTCCGAGAGCCTGGGATACAGGCGCGCCGTCCACTCGCCCGGCCTAGTTTTTTGTATTTTTCTGAGTAGAGACGGGGTTTCACCGTGTCAGCCAGGATGGTCTCGATTCTCCTGACCTCGTGATCCGCCGCGTCTCGGCCCTCCAGAAGTGCCTGGGATTACAGGCTTGAGCCACCGCGCCCGGCCTGGGTTAACAGTTCTTAACAAAACACTTTTTTATTCATTTTGACTGTCAATTTCCTCATCTTTGACATGGTAAAATGATCATTTCTACTTCATAGATGATTGTGAGAACTTAATGAGATCGCATATGTAAATTATCTTGTGTAGTGCCTGGTGCATAAAAGGTACTCTATAAGAGGTAGTTTGTTATTGTGCTTATAAATTGTATTATAAAAGATGACTATGGTTGAATTTTGCTACCAGAACCATGATCAATCATAAATTGCCAGCTTTTGTATGTGTGGCATCAACCTTCCAATGAAACCCAATGTATTTTGCATTTGCTATAAATCTATGATGACTTTGCATATTGTGCCACATATTGTCCTCTGTTAAAGGTCTCAGGTGATAAAAATCTATTTTAGAAATTAATCCTGTTAAAACTTAAACGCATCATACTTCCTTCATCACCTTGTTTGTCAGGTTGTTCTGATTAATGAGTCATCACAATAAGCATTGTGTCTTTGAGCTGAATGTGCTAATTTCCTCATTTACGGGCTTTGGATTTTTATTTGCATTTCAACAACGTTATTATAAACATGTTTTTTATTGTAATCTAACTTCAATATTTGAAGGAAGAGGTATATTATAAATAATATACCAGAAATCATTGAATGTTTCTGATTTTCCAGTGGCTACAATAGAGCAGTAAGCCTTGGGCTCCAGTAAAGTAGTTCTCAAATGTTAATGATCATCAGAATCCTCTAGTGGGCTTGTTAAAACACAAAACAGCTGGGTGCCACTCCTGGAGTTTCAGATTTAGTATCTATATTTCTAACAATTTTCCAGGTTATGCAGATGCAGATACTGCTGGTCCCAAAACCATACTTTAAGAGTCTCTGCTCTCATAGATGATCTAGTTATTTCAATTTCCTTTCACTTTTGTCTTTTTTCCTCTGTTCTTCCAGATCCTTCAAATTAAATGGCATTAATGAGACAGCCAGGTGGGAGGGGATCCCTGGACCAGCCTGCTTACTGGGGTGGAGACTTGGGAAGTTCATGCCATCTGTGGTGGGGAGGAGCCTGGTCCCTCTTTTTCCTGTGTGGAATCTGGGATTCAAACTGCCAGGCAGGAGGTACTCTAGCAGAGGGACTCTGGCCCTGCAATAGTTCCTGTTTCCCCCTTTTTCTGTTTTAACCAAGTAAAACCTT